AATTATGGTGTAAATTATTTTCTTTTGTTCAAAATAAACAACATATTATTATTCAGTATCCCTAGAGCTGAGTCTTGTCAATATTTTGTCATTCATAACCATTGTTAAGGATGCATACTGACATGTTTTCCTGTTCCTCCTTCTTCAAAACAATTCAGCAGCTTGAAGTAATCAGACTGTGTCCTTATGCCATTGACATCCACAGTATACAGGCTTTTTTATGCTAAAATAATCTGAGCACATTATGAACCAGCTACTCTGAACCTTTGGGTGACTTTAACATGGCTGTACCACTAGCCTACTAAATTAAACATTGAGCAAAGTACCACTAGTTCTGCTGTAACTGAGCGTGTTTGTCCCTGTTCTGCTGCTGGAAATTCTTCAGACTCGTAATCCAGCGCTCTGAGCCTGAACAATGTTTTTCCAAAGAACTCACAGCATCAACTTTCAAGCCAGAAGCTGTGTAGCAGTGTCAGACTGGATCCTTGTAATCGCTGCTTTTCTGTCTGTTTTCTGCATGATGCATGAGTGGCTATCAATTATGACACGACAGAAAACGCAGAACGCAGACTATGAACGCAGATGCAGATGTTGTGCTCCCGGTGGTCACACATGGTTTAGCCATCAGCAGGATGTTCCCAAGAATTTTTGGATGTTACTTGTTTACTCTTTTCCACCTTACTTCCTTGGGGAATAAAAAGAAAACAGCTGCAGTGCCCATTAAAGCTGTAGGAGGGGAAGCAGCAGACAGACACACTGATTGGCCTGCAACACAACAATGGCTGTTCATTCCTCAGGTGTCGATGTGCTCCACAGGTGAGCTGCCTCCATTAGGGCTCCTACAACAGCAACAACAGTGGCACTTTGAACAAGTGATGTGATTCAGTGGTCCAGGTTAAAACACACAGCTCAGCAGGTTTCGAATAGAAACACTATCACATTCATTATATTGTGATGTGAACAACACTCCAGCAGGCTGAGAGGCCAAAAGAGTCCCACAGATACACAACACACTGTTTGTTTGGTTTGTGATTTCTTAACATGCTCGTTACAAGTGTAGAATTCTGTGGGAACTGCTGATTTGTGTTTTTAAATATGTCTCATTAATGTGTCTACTGCATGTACATACACTACACACAAAAAGACTTTTATATAGTCACTGGGTTTTTGCAAATGGGCCTTCACTTTATTTGTCTCTGATCTCCGCAGGTATTTAAGTCTGAAAACAAAAAAGTACATTTTACTCAAATAAAGTCCAATTTCGAGGTGTTTTTATTCCAGTATTTCACTCATAAGCTTCTTGAACTTTAATACTACACCTTCAGAAGGATAATGTGTACTTTTTACCTCATTACATGTATTTCACTGCTATAGTTACTAGTAACTTTGCAGATTTAACATGCAAAACACACAGTGGAATATAATATTCTGCTTTTTAAAGTACTTCACAAAGACCAGAAGATTGTTAAAGTTGGCTTCACTAAGTGAGTTACAACATCTGAATGCCGCTCACACAAGCAACTACTTCGATAAATTAAAAAAGAATAAATGTAATTATATGAAAATCACAACTGTGTATAATTTATTTTGATGCTAAACAGATTCAACTTCCTTAATTGTACTTAAATAAAAAAAATGTGAATGCTAGACATTTACTTTTAATGGGAATTTTGTTTCTTTTAAATGACTTGAATGGATACTGCTCCTAGCACTAGTGTGCTGCTGTATGTTGTCACAGTGTATGTGGGTGGAAAAGTGGGTGCTTACATACTATATATATATAAATCAATGACAGATGGGTTTAAGTCTTCAAACACATTTCATGTGCATGTGTGGTTGAGCATGGTTTCCTATGACTCCCTTCCTTTTACATAACTATTCACATATAGTATATTTACTCACATTCTATATATAAAGAAGCAGTGTCTAGTAAGCAGCTCCATGAGAGACACAGTTACCTTCTTTCAAAAAAGAAAACACTACAGAAAAAATCTAACTCATTATGGTTCATAGAATATTTCCTGTTTTCTTCTTAATCTCTTCTATCATCACACAACTGCTGATATTTATCATCGGACCCTTTAGAGGGGGCGGGACCTGTGTTCAGAACTACTACACTTCCACTGGAAGTATTCCAGTGTATTTAAAGATGATGCTGTAAATAAGCTGCATCTCAACCTCCTGATAACACACTGACACTCATTGAGCCTCAGTATTATCAATGAAATAATGTCACACAATGTTGATATAAGAATTTGAGCCTGTAAAGTCAAGGTGTGCCCAGTTGAGTTGTGATGCAGAGGACTGAGGGAGTCAGGGGTCTGAGGGCAAGTCTGCAAGAGGAAAGTAAAAAGGCTTGCAGAAGGGTGCAGAGAGACATGGCTACGGCTGAGAAGGAGGATTAACTAACTGATTGTCATTAGAGACTAGGAAGAGTTAGTAATTGGCTATTGTCTGATCAGCCTGCAGTGGGCCAGACTAAGGAGAGGGTGTCTTCAAACACCCAATGACAATGAAGAACACAGACAGAGGACGTGTCCCAACAACATAACATCTCTCCTGTCTATCATCAAAATATCCACTGTCAATCAGAATGCAGATCCTCAGGTACTGCAACAATAACTGTCCTAATAATAAATCATATGTCATTTTAGAGCAGAATGAGAAATTAAAGTTTTGCTACTTGAGGTACATTTTGTCACTTATATCTACTTTGTGAAGTGGGATTTTGAATTGAGGTCTTTCACTTGAATTGAAGTATTTTCACATTACACTGTCGGTGGTCTCATTGAGGATCTGAGCACTTCTTCACTACTGGTTCTCATCTACAGTGAGAAAGAAGAGAGGAGGGGTGAGGTGTCAGAGGCACAGGGACAAATGTGATTGGCTTCTGAAGTGCCCCTGTCTTGTCTTAAAAAAACTTAATATGACAGTTTGTTAAGATGTTTTATATTTTAATATTTGAGTACATGCTCGAACAAGGTTCACTTTTTAAAATAGAGCTATAGAATAGACATTATATATTATATTATATTATTATATATTAAATATACATATTTACAGAGTACAAGTTCACTATTGTTTATCTTAACATTATTGAGCAAATTATACCCGGCCCGCCTCCCACATTGCACCAAGTGTGTGTGAGAGAGTGACAGAGAGAGAGAGATTAAATAATGTAACAATGGATTTAAGATTGTGTATGTGTGTATGTGTGTGTGTGTGAAATAAAAGTTTTATGGAAATGTTTCGCCAGCATTTGCATGATGATTGATGTTCGAACATCGAGATGCTTTTCTCGTCTGATTTGTGTGTCCAGTATGATTCACCTGCACATGTCGACTCACAGTAAACTTACACTCTGCCACATCTCTCGTGCAGAATTTTAATGAAGTCTAACAAGCCCGTTTTACATTACTGTTAGATGAGATGTACTGTCTGATATATGACTGCACTCAGAGGCAGTTGAGGAAGTGCATATACTTGCCAAGGATGTACATGCATTTGCATATTCCTCATCCACATTTTAACTCTTGGCACTTTGTAACAAGATATTTTTTAAAACAACCAGGATTCAAACTCTGCTTCAGTTATTATGTTCTCTCTCTCTCATGGATGATGTGCACAGCTCTCTGTGATGCTTTGATTGTATTACGGTAAATGAGTTTTGTTTTTAAAGCAAATTAAATGATAACAGATGAGGAAAGAGCTGGCAGGCATGAGTGCATTACTTTGTATTAAGAACAACGGTGTATGGTGTTTGGCATCGGGCCTGTAGAGGCAGCACTGTACTGAGCTGTTACTGTAACTAGACAGCAATGGTGCCTGACAGGCCACTACTCAGGAGCGCGCACACACACACACACACACACACACACACACACACGCACACACCCTTGTCTCTCTATAGCGGTGAGGACACTCAGACATAATGCATCCCCTGTAGCTCATTACTCTAACCCTGAAAACAAATCCTGACCTTTAAACAACCCTTTCAGTTTGTGAGGACCAGACAAAATGTCCTCGCAATGATGGTCTTGAACAATAGTCCCACATAACTACAGAAAGACACACACACACAAACACTGTTTTCCCAGGTGGTCTGATATTATAAACCCCAAGCCTCACATATATTAACTCTGTTCCTCTGGAGATTTACTGCACATTCATACAGTATCCAGGTGAGATGTCCACACGTTTACGCTCTATAACACAATGTGTTTTTGTATCTGGGAGCATGTGCAAGTAGTTTGTGTTTGCAGGCCTGCAGTTTGTAATCTGACAAATTTGGCTTGAAAAAGAAAGAAATTATATGTGGAGCATGACCTCAGATTGTTGACTTTAATGTACCATGAATTTTAACAGCAACTTTTCCAACTTGTTTTCAGACTCAAACACCCGAGGAGATCAGAGACAAATAAAGGGACGGCCCATCTGCAAAAACCCAGTGACTATATAAAAGTGTTTTTGTGTTTAGTGTATGTACATGCGCGTGCCAGGGAGGACCACCATGGAAGGAGGGGCGGTCCTGAGTTAGGAGACAGGAGGCAGGAGACAGGACAGGACAGGACAGGCTTTGAACCTGATCATAGACAGTGCGCACAAAAGTGGCACCAGTAACGCGGGTGGCATGAAGGAGGACCCGCGTCTTTATTGTGTCCTCCAAATCACCACTGACAGATTCGCATGACACAGAGCCAGCAGACCAGCCACTTAATGCCATTTTCTATATTTCTTACAAATAACCTCTTGTTTCTTGTTTTCCTCTTCTGTTTTGAAAAGCTATTAATAGCGCGCAGGCTTTCTCCTTCGCCAAAGCGCATTCTTATGAAATGCCTCTGCGTAAAAATAGAAATACAGTTGGCCAGAACTGGCACCCATTGACACAATAGCTCCCGTTCCAGAGACGTAGCTCCTCCCTGTGTGTGTGTGTGTGTGTGTGTGTAGCGGGTGGGTGACAGCTGGGCTCGCTGCGCTCCGCTCCAGTCTGGTAAGGAGCTTCATCTCCAAATAGGATGACCGTCGGCTTTTGTGGAAGGTACTGCGCTCGTGCTCCGTAGCTAGTTCTGGGACACCCCGGGTTGCTTTCCATCCGTTCAGCTCCAGCTTGGGTTGCAGCAAAGCCAGACACGTCGGGTTTATTCTTTCTCTAGTTTTGGATTTCCGATGGATATTCCTATCTGAAGAGGTGTGATTTGAGCGCGGCATGTAACAGAAAGAGGCGCAGGAGAAAAGTAGCGCTCGTATTGTTGTTGTGAAACGTCTGAACTGCTTTAAAGAGCCGCGTCTCATGGATTACTAAAGGACAGAGCTGTGCATCCACTATACCGAGGTGGATCCATTCATGAGCTGAAGGTAAGATTTCTTTGTTTATTTCAAACTTTACGTGCGTCTTTCTCCGGAGCCCCGGAGGCTCGTTTTCTGCCGGACGACAAGTGCACACGCGGCACAGGATTACTCCATCCACTCAGGGTGATTTCGCGTATTTATATATAAAAAAGCATTCTGTACTTAAATCAAGTTATAAAGAAAATCAGAAAGTGCCAGATTTAATCAAATGAGAACAGCGATACGTCCCCTACAAGACAGACACCTTCCATCGATGTAAACAGAACCACATTTCCGTGCGTAATCCCTCTTGTGCTGTTTAGATATAAGGATTAAAGAAGTGTCAGTCTCAGAGCAGCTATGGCTGTTCACACTGAGCAGAGACTCAAGCAAGAACAATGTCCGGATCAGTCATCAGCAGGTTCATGGACGGAGAATAAGAAATGTGCTTGTGGGAACTTGACCGACTGTTGTCCTCCCTCTAACGGTGCGTTTTTGTCCCCAACCTCGCTGACCCTGAATGTGTTATAAAAAAAACTACAGACACAAAACAAACAGTTTTAGATTTGAAATAAAAATGAGAGAGTTTATATGAGCCTATAATAACACATTAATGCCTGATTTGGGATCGAAAACGCACAAACACAAAAGTGGCACACTCCATTATTACAGTCCATGATGGGATTTTCATTTTGCCATTTATTTTCCCACGACTGAAAATTCAGAAATTAGAAAAGCAATTTACATTTAGACTAATATTGCAGTGTGTTTACACTCTTTCTTTCAAGGAAATGAGGCTAGAAACTTGATGTGCAAGTTAATTTTACATCTAGATTTTTATTGTCTTAACTGTTAGCTCTCTCTCTCTCACTTACACACACATGCATGCTCACACTGGCCATAGGGGTGCGTTCAGGGATCTCAGGAGAAGCAGAGTGGTCAATGTGGTCCAAAAGATCCAATGAAATGTTTGTAATTCTGAGCAGGAGGCAAAAATGCGTCAGTCTCTGAAGTGGGATTTGACCATTAAATCAAGTGCTGCTGCTTTAACGAGCCAGGATGAGGAGATAGAGGCCTCACAAACCACATCCAGCAGCCGGACTGCCAACACCCAGTCAGTCATTCATTCAGTCACTTCTCCTCTCCTCTCCCAGTACACCCCCCTCTTCCCTCGCTCCACCAGGCACTGGGGAGGGAAGGCTGGGAAAAGGGATTCAGCAACTCTAAATGTAGGATTTAGATTAGGAAGCGTGTGCAAGGGTGGTGATAGAAATGGATGAATCTAAAGAGTATTGAACTGCCCCCAGCAAAATGTGCCTCTCGTCAGCTGATTTCCAGCTGCAGCACATGGTGTTTTGGAAACATGATTTTATTATCAAGCTTAACACAATTAAAGGAATAAAGAAGACTCACATCACTTCAGCTCTGAGAGGAGTCTTGGCTGTAATTCATGTCTTTCCTGAAATCACTGGAAGTGTTTGGTTCTCCTGTGCATTGCATGTTTTCATTTTTTTTTGCCATCACTATACATACTGTGCTGCGGATGAGACATGATGTTGAATGTAAAATAGCAGAATGTTTTACCTCTGCTCCTCCTACAATATTAGCCTCGAGGCATTCAAATGTCCTGGAGGCATTTTTTTGAGATGCTGCACGGGCTGAAAAATCCCCCCATGCTCTTTCATAAAGGCTACAACACCACAAACCAGAGTGCTAATCCTGTCTTAAAAAAAACACTTTATACATTGACATGTCATGATGCTGATACATGAATTACAGCATGATTTACCTTTGTGACAGAAGCCTGCCGCTTCTCTCTTCCTGGGGAGGCAGAACAGAGCAGAGCGACCAGAGTTGTTACTTGTATTTGGAGCAATGCTCTGCGGAGCGTTTGATCCGCCGATCCCCCAACAATAGCGATGGGGATGGCATTTTGTGTGACTGATGTGAATTTGTCACACTGTATGTGTGTTTGTGTGTGTGTGTGTGAGAGAGACAGAGAGGGAGAGAGTTAGTATTTACCTTTTGCTGTACAAATGCAGATGCAGCCTGAGTATAGTCAGCTTGAATAATTGATAAATGGCTTTGTCCCTATTCAAATGAATTGCCCCTCTTCTCTAAACAACGAGACAGGTCAGCTGATGTTAACCACTGGTCCTCATTCAGCCAGAGTCAATACCCAGCATTCAATATTGTGCGTATTTATGCATAATGCATATTCCATAAAAGCCATGTTTTATTGATGCGCGTCCTTGGTGTGTGGGCTGGTGTTTTTTGTTTTTTTTAATTAGAGTGTGAGAAAGCATCAAACCCCTCTCACTCATCTGCATGTGATTTATTGATGCTTAACCCATTTTCCAGTTTTCACATCTTTCTAAATTGCCGCTGCTCCAATTACACTGCCTTAACGCTAAATCTGCTAGAGCGGTGGAACATTAAAAACACATAATCATGAGCTTGAGTGTGTGTTTTAGCACATTTTGTTTTCAGGGATACAGGTCAGCATAATCAAAGACACTCGCACTGAAATGAAACTGTCCATCACAGATGTTACACGGCGCATTTACTCATTTTACTCAAGTTGGCTGCAATTCATCTGCGGAATTAAGCAAAATGAAGGAAGATGTTGTAAACTGATAATAAATATCATAGAACTGCTCCTCTGTGTAATCGCTTCTCCACTTTTCCTCTGCTGCTCCATAGCTCTCATTTTATTTGGTTACGATTTCCTTGACCCCCTGAAGTTGAACTCATTATTTGATAAACACCTTAAATGTGATCTAAGACACACTGAATAACATGCAGGTTGAGAGATGAAGGCAGCAGACCTGAGTCTCAATCTCATCTACCGCCTTAGTTGATATATTTAATTTTCTAAAAAGGCAGCAGCTTATTTGCTTCAAATTGGAACATTTCGCTTCTCTCTTTATAGGCGATGATAAATGATGTTCACTGTACAATTGGGATTTAATATAGCTCACTGTGCAGTATGGTCAAGTGTGCTCTATATTCACAGCATGGCTCATTGAAAATGTAATCTCTCGCTAATCACTTGCTTGAGCGTGTTGGTCCATGTTCTCTCTCTCTGTCTTTCGCACACACACATGCGTGGATCCATGGCCTTCCAGTTTCCACGTTTCGTTGTGTTGTTGGAGCTGGCTGCTGTCTCCCACTTAGCCTTAACCCTTCCGGCTCCCTAGAAATGACTCTCCATAGCATGCACAGAATTAACCGTCCATGTGTTAAACATTCTTCATACCCATTACATTAGCATAATTGATTGAGTGTGTTTTGTGTGCCAAGAACGCCAGAGGCATGAAGGACCAAGCAAAGGGCTTATTTCAGGCCAGGCGCCTCAAGTCAGCGGCAGAATTGGCTGAGGGTCTGTTGATGCTGTTGGTCCTTGGCAAAGCTTTGTTTTTAGAAATTAAGTGAATTACAAAGTGATAGGCAGCCCATCAAGGAGAAGGTTGTTGAGGAGCCAAACTTTGTCACATGCTCGCCAAATGAGAGCTCATCGACAGAAACATTTTAAATCAGCTTATAACATCTGTCTACTCCTCATGGAAATGTTGTATTTTAAATACTTAGTATATGCGACATTAACATGCAGTAATACCTTTGTCCAGGCTGACTTTGGTGGCCTGTCATTACTCAAATGGAAAGGAAATGCATTTGCAGAGATAATCCAAAAGCTGCAGGACTTTGTGTGATTGCCTGGGAGATGGATGAATGACTGGAAAGCGCCAAGTCTTGTACTGCAGATCAGATGATTTAAATTGTGGTACAAAGCATAAAAATATGATGTCCCAGTTCCCGTCCTGCTGTTGTGCTTTTACAGGTGAGAGCAGCCAGCTGTGAGTCATGGAGACAGCCACAGGCTGATAAGATTCAATTGGGCCACATCCACTGCCGTGGTAATTTGTGTGGTTACTTGTGCTTGTTGTGTGTCATGTGGACGTTAAGCATCAGGAAAACTCTGCCACCTCTTTGTTTGCCCCTTTAGCGTTAGCGCTGCCCTTAATACAGTGTTTATGTGTCTATGTGAGGTGTGTACCAAGAAAACCACTGATGGTGGTCGATGTGTGTGAGTGTGTGTGTATGTTTTTTTCCAAGATGGGGGGGTGTCACGAGTGTACTCAGTGTGTTTGCTCCCTGTGACTGTGCGTGCAGGTTTCCTGTATGGTGTTGTTCAAGTGCATGTGTCCCTCCTCCCCAGGCCCTAGCGATTGGCACTGCATCTCTCATCTATTAATCATAGAGAGCGCTTTCTCTCTCATTCCGTTGCCATAGTTTCAGGACCTGAGACAGTGTTGGGGTGTCTGGCTGCTTAGAGAGAGAGAAAGGAAAGGAAAGAGGTGTGACTCTGTAGGAAAGGAGGAAATGATAAAGGGCTAAACAGCGTAGCGAGGGGAAGGTGGAACAACTGAAACGGAGCAGAGGAGGAAAGAAGGGAAGTGATTGAAAGAGCGATGGTAGGGTAACACACTGAGCTGGTCCGCACCATGGATGAGTGTGCGTCAAGAACCAAAATGGATTTTTATTTCAACGGTGAACCCTGCTATCTCCCTCTGTGTGTGCATCTTTTCACTTTCTCTTAAACCCTTCTCTCGTTCCTAAAGAGAGCTGAAGAGTATTTTCACAGTAGGCATCATCTCATGAATAGCGTGGTCACGGGGCCGGTGCATCTCCAGTGTGTTACAGTACATTGAATGGCTGTTATTTCACCTTGCTTTACAATGGAAAAAACCTTCCACTGCGCTGAGATGGAAGACGGGCCAGGGCCTCCTGTTTCATGCTCAGTTGGATGTTTTGATGTTAAATCATGCTGAATTCATGTGTTAGTCAATGCTTGATAGCTATGGAAATCGACTATGGAAATGTCGGAGGCAGGGAATACCTTTTGCTATCAGCCGTCTCTCTATCTCCGTATCTTTGCGTTTATCTTTCCGTCTTTCACCGTTTCTTCCTTTCCTTCCCCACTTTCGTTCTCCTCCCTCCACATTTAGATTCACTCCCTTCGGTGC